GCCTGATGCCTGGCAGTAATGCAGTTCTCGGGTTTTGAATAACAGGGTGGGCCAGGGACTGCTGGGCTGGTCTGCAGCTACCTGCAGCTGGACTGCAGCTACCTGGTAGGCACTTCTGGAGCACTGGGCTCAGCTGGAGGTTTCTCAGCTACAGAGCAGGACCAAAGCCCCTGCGCAAGGACTCCCCACACCGATAGAGCCACGTGTGAGGCAGAACTACGGTACAAAAAGGCATAAATGTATGAAATATAGTAACACCTGCAGAGGTGCATAAGGTCCAAGGCGACTGGATGATTTTAACTGCAGCTAGAGGAGGTGATAAGACAGAAAGAGAATGTGAGGGAAGGCCAAGGAATGCTGCAGTTTTCTCTAAACTACATACAGAAAATGCTGCCACAGGAAGACTGTGTTCAGGCACTGGGAAGTTTAGGAGGACTAGTGAGGCCAGGACACCAACTTGCCCAAAATAGCAGCACTGAAGTACAAAATTAGAAGAGGAAGGAGGAGCAGCGAAGGAAGGAGCAATAGTCCAAGATCTATTATTTTTTTTAACGTCCATCTAATTTCGACATAGGCTTAAAAAAACAAAACAAAACCTCCAGGGGATCCTTCCATCTAGGAATTCAAGCTTTGAAGCAAAATCTGTTTTCTGTCTTTATCAGGTCTCTTTGCTGTCCCACTTCTTTCTCCCATTCTAATATTTAATTGGCATCGGCAGAGATCATCTATTGCTCGTTCTGTGTCAGGCCCTTGCCAGTAACTCCATGGGATCTGAGCTTCCTCCAGTCATCTCGTATTCCTATTTAAAATACTTTAACTGGAAAGCTTAGATAACCTCATTTCAGACACTACCATTTTGCGACAAAATTCCATCTGGTCAATATTAGGTCCAGTAACCATGGCTGGAGTGAAGAATAATCTTGCTTTCATGTTGAGGCTGTACAGCTTCAGTTTTAAACATGATTTGAAGTGGCATAACTTGCTACTAATGAGCATCAGCACTGATAGCAGGAAAACTAGCTTTTAAGAATCCAGATTTCAAAGCACACTTGTCGGCACTCTGGTACTCACTTTCTGTTTCTTGGGAAGATTTGACCGTTTCTCCAAAATCACACTACTCTTTGGAGAAATGGTGGATTTTTTTGAGTTTCCAGGCTTTGGCAAGGACATAGACGAGGTACCTGCATGTGGAAAGAAAATTAAAATGGGAAACTGAAGGGGTTTGATGTTACATGCTGTTGCTAGCCCTACTGCTAAATAGAGCTATTTAATGAACAAACAAGTCATAATAACCTCCAGGAAAACCTAAGAGGATATTCATGGCTGAAATAAGGATGAAGCAATGCCTCTCATATCCCCCGAAAGCATACTGACAAACTGGCAAGAAAAAAGTTTCATCTCTCTAGTTGTACGTAAGCTGATGAAGCACAAGAAGCCAGGGAGGTGAAATATGTATATGAACCAAATAGGATTGCAATGTCACTCTGCAGAATGACAAAATGGCCATATTCTTCTCTGCAGTAGGACCTGTGCAGTAAAGGCAATGCTGATACCCTGCAACTTTCACTTTCCCTTTCTTAGAAAACTTACCACTCACAAGTGCAGAGAGCAACTCCCCTGCAGGCAGCATAAGAGAGGAAGAGGTTTATATACGCAACTCCAAAAGAGAGCAAACAAAGTCCTTATACTGAGAGAATTTCACCTAAGCTATAAGCTCATCCTTCTAAACTACAGAGCTTGGTTAACAACCTGTAAGGAATGATGATGAGGTTTTCTCCAGATCTTCTTGCATTTTCAGGAGTATTCTCTCCTGCTCCAAGGCTTCTATGTACTTGGAATAGGACCAGGAAGCCTGCAAGAACCATTAAAAACCATCAGCCTCCAGACCATGTCACTGGTAGTTCCTGGTCCATTTCAACAGTGAGACAAAATACTTGTTTGTATTATGTCCCTACTATTGAATAATCACAATTATTGAGAAGTTTTGTCACGACAATACTGGCATCAGAGGAAAAATAATATTGCTGCAAATGAGGGAATCTCAAAACACCATGAAATGAAATTTAAGCAAATTTGACAGATACAATGTTTGCATTCATTTATTCTTCATTCCTGCTCTGAGTCCTATTCTCTCTCCTTTCATCTTCAAAACCTAAATACAGCAGAGCTTTCCCCTCCCAAAATATCAGTCTTTTGTGCTATTGAGGACTTGATTTTATCTCCCTGCCACACCATTCCAGTGTGTCCTTTCTCAAATCATCAAAGGTCTCATTAGCCTCACAGTTCTTTCTCCCTGCCCTCTCCAGCAGACTGCTACTACCACTAGAGGCAGATCAACTGGAGATGTCATCCTTTCCTTTTCTAAGGAACAAATATTGCTCTTTACATTGCATTGCAACAACTACAGTTCAGGTTTCATGTAAATTTTAGGTCACTCTCCCAAATCAATATGGGAACTATACTTTTATTTGGCCTTTTTTTTTCCTTACAGCATGAGTATTTTGGGGCCAATTTGTCATTTCGTGACCCAGTAAGAAGAACTTCCAGCATCTTCCTGTAGCAGGAAGGGACTTGGGGAAGAAACTGCTCTATAAAAGTGTGAGAAGCAGGTCGAGGGAGGTGATTCTACCCCTCTACTCCATTCCAGTGAGACCCCACCTGGAGTACTGCATCCAGCTCTGTGGTCCTCAACATAAGGACATGGAGTTGTTGGAGCAAGTCCAGAGGAGGCCACAAAGATGATCAGAGGGCTGGAGCACCTCTCCTATGAAGACAGGCTGAGACAGTTGGGCTTGTTCAGCCTGGAGAAGAGAAGGCTCCAGGGAGACCTTAGCGCACCCTTCCAGTACCTGAAGGGGCCTACAGGAAAGCTGGAGAGGGACTGTTTACAAGTGCATGTAGTGATAGGACAAGGGGCAATGGCTTTAAGCTGAAGGAGGGCAGATTTAGATTAGATACTAGGAAGAAATTCTTTCCTGTGAGGGTGGTGAGGCACTGGCACAGGTTGCCCGTAGAAGCTGTGGATGTCCCCTCCCTGGAAGTGTTCAAGGCCAGGTTGGATGGGGCTTTGGGCAACCTGGCCTACTGGAGGGTGTCCCTGCCCCTGGCAGGGGGGTTGGAACTGGATGATCTTTGAGGTCCCTTCCAACCCAAACCATTCTAGGATTCTATGGTTTTATAAAAGATTATTGCTCTTTATGCTATTACCTGCCTCTTCTTGAGGGCTTAGGCATACGATACTGATATACTGGCTCACCCAACTCAATATTTTTTAAATAGGTATGAGCAAAGGTTAAAAGGTCCATTGAAGGGATAAGAGTGTGAGCTTAGCTATGCAGTTTGCAGTTTGGCTTCATATTTTGAGAGTATTTCGGACTACCTCATTCTATATTCTGCTCATTGCTAATGTAATGCCACAGGAAGAGCTCTACGTATGTAAGCAGTGGCCGGAGTGCCGTTTACTCCTGCATCGGATGACATAGCTATGATTATGTGGTTGCACAGATTCCCCATATGTTATGGCAGTGTCAGCTCAGCTATGAATGATCCCTTGATACATCCAAGGTGGCATGTCTGTTCTTTCTGTTTCTCCAATAAAATGACCGTTACCTTTTCACTACAAATTTAATGCATCATGAGAGTTGTTCTGGAAGAAGTTCTAAGCACCTATTTTCTGCTGGATTTTCTATGCAAATATCTAGATTTTCTAAATGAGTTCAGCTTCGGTTTTGACATAAGGGCAGAACAGGGCTCAAACCTAAATCAAATTCTTTCAAGATACAAATTTTCCATGTAATGAAAAATTTCTTATTCTAGATTTGGACTTCCTTTCCTTCCACTTACCTTAAATAAAGATTCTTTTTAAATCTACACACCTAAAGGGCTTAATATGTTGATAGATATTAATACTATTCAGAACCTAAATCTTAAAAAACTAAAGCAAAAATCATTATCTGTAAGGTAGGTACAGTTATAACAGCGAAGTTAATTGAAGAATGAACAGTTATGGAAAACCATATGACAGTAGTATTCAAAATCAAACCACACTTTCCCATTCTCCCAAGATCATTTTATCTCCCTTGAATAATGATATCTGCAACATGTTTATTATTCACCTGCCACCCATTTCCATCTGAAAATGATGCTGGTCCTCTCTCCACACCAGTCTCATCTCCCAAAGCACTGCCTGACAGACCGATGAGTTTTCTGCCCTCTTCTTTATCCTGCCAATAATAAGAACTCATAATTAGATGTAAACAAGAATTACTGAGCTAAAGTAAAAAGCAAAGTCTGAGGAAGCAAAAATTGTCATTGGAAACAAGATACTGTCATATGCAGTAATGTTTTGTAATGCCCAGTTTCATAGTTTGTCACATTGGGCATAATAAAAAATAGCAGAAGATACTGCTTTTTTAAAGCATTTCTTTGTCCTAATCGAAGTTTCCTGACCTCTACACTCCTGCAGACTGTCTTCCTTTCAGATTCAATACCTGCCCAAAATATAGCTAAGTGAGAGGGCAGAGCTGCAACAGAAAATATTTTAAGGACAGAGAGGCCATTGTGATCCTCTAATTTGGCCTCAGGTATAAATGTAGAATATAAGATTTCTCATGATTAATTCCAGCTTGATCCAGTAGCTGCGAATGAACTACGGTACGCACATGAGGAAAACAGGCAATCTCATGTGAAACATTTACAGTGAAGGACAAGGCCTTGCAACCCATTGTAAACCATTCCAGTGATTAACTATTTGTCATTTTCATGTTGTTTCAGTGTTTTATTAAGGTTGCACCTTTGCACATTCTGTCTGATGATCCCAAAACTCTTTATGAACATTAATCAATGTTTAACCTCACATAATTAACCCCACAACATCCCCATGAGGCAAGTAACACAACCCTCCCATGTTGCAAATGAGAAAGTGAGAAAAGAAGAGAGGTCAAGTTCCCAAAGGCACTCAGAAAGTCCCTGAAAAATCTGGAAAAGGATCAGAATATCCTACTTCCTTGCTTCCAAGGGGCCTTTTTCTTTCTTCATCATCTCTACTGTCCTATGGACCTGTCATCTATAAGGGTGACTTTTGGGTATAGAACTGCCCAGGCAGTGTGATGTTTATCTTCTCGCCAGAAGCAGACTTACCAACTTCTGTGGCACACTCAATTGATGGAACAGGGATGCCAAAGCAAATACAGAAATAATGTGTATACTAATAACTACAGTTCAGGTTTGCTAGCTCTCTCAATGAGAATGGTGAAATAAATGAGGTCTTTAATAATGTCTTCTTATAATAAATCAGGCAATGTTATGGTAATGTCATATCCTATGACATTACACCACTTACTAAAAATAAACTTACTGCTAAGAAGATTAAAGAGAGATGAGGGAAATGTGGAAAAGGAAAATCAACGCTTATCGTTTTACCTTTCTCTGCTAAGGGCATGGAAAAAAGAACAGATTTACAGTGTAAGTTAAAAATATTTTGCACACTTGAAGGCAAAAAAAATCCAAAATCTATTTGGGAGGTAAAATGCAATTGTGTGTACAACAAATAATTACAAATACTGGTATCAAGGCAGTCTGCAAAAAGTGACTAATGATAATTTTTTTTTTAAGTAGGTGGCATGTGCATCTAGCAGTTAACAAAGGAACAGATCCACAGACGAGTCAAAGCTGAGCCCATGTAGCTGGGCCACACTAAGGGCAAATGTGTGAAAAAGGAGAAGCAAACCATACTCTCTCAAGGCAACATCTTTTAAAACGACCATTTCAGCTCAGTACTGAAGCAATCACATTATGCTGATTGTTCGAGCTTACTTCACCGTGTATTGACCCATCCCTGCCTTGCAGACGCTGAGCTTAAAACAAGTCCCTGTGTTGTATGGCACACACGTAAAATACTGAGATAGTCAAATAATACCAAGTCATGCATCATTGTCCAGTGAAAATCTCCTTGTCTGCCCATTTTTTTCATTATACTACATAAAAGTCCAACTCTTACCCAGTCAGTTCAGAAAGTGAAGTGAGCCCAGATAGATTGGGCATCCCGGGGACAAATTTGTGAGAAGGAAGAAAGTAAAATTCCTTCCCCAGGACCATGATTGTTCTGTTTGACATAAACCCAAAATGGCAACTGGCTTGTGTGTGTGTCTAAATATATATATAGAAAAAAAATACATCATTTCTAACCCTTACCAGAGCTTTCCTCTCCTTCAACATGAGCCTGGTGGGGCAGAGGAGCATAGACATGTGAAATCTTCACCTTCTACAAGCTGCCAAGTGAACCTGCTATCGCTTATGTTGGATGAACCTTATCAGTATCCTTCAGAGATACTTCATCATTGGAATAGTTATGTTGTCACTGAGGGGACAGAAATCTCAGGCAAGAGAACAAGGAATGGCAAATTCTTTAAACAATAATAGAGAGGGGGAAAGGGGAAGAATTATCTGTTCCCCCTATTCTTTCAGGAGATTTTAAAAGGTAACTGGTCTACTGACATTTTTTTGTGAGAAGAATAGTCTGCAAATTGTTTACTGAACTGCATTCTCTGCCTGTCACTTTCTAAAATTTCTTACCCTATTTCCCAGCTTAGAAGGGTAATTCACCTTTCCCATTTGTTCCCCATAAAAGCTAGGCTTTTGCCCTCCTGGCCAAGATTTGCTTTTTACTTCCTTGATCTTAATCAGAAATCTTATAGACAGGCAACAAACAGATGGAAAAAATAAGTCTGTGAAAATGCAAAAGTGCATTACTTTGAAATATTGCATTCTTGCACTGTAAGTACTGCCAATGGCCTTGCCAGACCTATCTGTATGGAGGCAACATGCTTTGGAGAAAGGAACATGAGTTCTTGGATTTTAGACTTCATTTGACATTGGTGTGTCCTTGAGTAACGCTTCACTGGTGCTCAGTTTTCATTAGTCTAAAAGAGGATAACAATGTGTACATATTTTTATGGGCATATATGTCTTTATCTGTCCAGGTACTCATGTGGTTCTCATCACGAGTAACATCTCAACACATGTGTACATGGTATTTAAAATATGTAAAGGTCTTTTAATGCTACTTATGATAGCTTGCAAGTCCAATAATTTCTCTGCCCTTACAGGAATGTTCTCTCCTCAAAGCTGGCCAAACAATTACATTTCATAAAAAATAAACTTTTGCAAAGCCTATAATCAATAGGAAAAAAATCCATTATATTTTAATAATAAAATTCCAAGAAAAACACTTTTACAAGCAAGCATTCCGCTGTAGAGGTCACAGTTCTGTTAATGTACTGAAACTGTCTGGAAACTCATTGTGAACAGTCTAACAATTTAACTGTCAAAGCTAAGAAATAGTCAAGAAAAGACAAAGACTATACAAAGCAATTAGCACATAAATATTTTTTAAAAATAATGTGCAGACTTTTCAAATGCTCCTTCTGAAAAATAGATATTAAATCTGGTTTGGTTTTGGTTTGGTTTGCTTTGTTTTGTTTTGTTTTCAGTAGTGACCCAGGACTGTAAATTCTAAAACAGGACAGTACATACTGAAAGTGCAAACAGGTCTGCAGTTACCCGTTGTACACATGGACCGTACATAGATTTATTTTTTTTTTAATTCAGCCTTCTTTTTCACTCTCTTCTTGGCACAAAGGATGACTAAAATACATTTTCCCCTCTGCTTAATGAAAGGAGTATTCCACTGACTCATCTGCCTCAAGTTAAACATATGTAGATGCATTGGCAGGATCGGAAACTAATCGCCCTAGGACTGGGTCGCGTGTAAAGCTTGAATTCTAATAAAAAGATTTCGGTAGCTTTGGATGAGGCCAAGGAAGGGATAGTTGAATTCATGGATGTTTGCTCATGAAGGAGTTTTTATGCAGTTTGTCAGCTCTCACCTGAAACTTTAGGAGCCTTACCTCTGCTGTTTTGCCTTCCTTTTTTCGCATCTTTTTCCCCTTTTTTCTCTCCAAAGCAAGTAGAATTTTGTCACTAGCCAAATTGCTTCGAAACTTACAAAATTTTGGCCAAAATTTAAACAGAAGAGCAAAAATAGTCATCTGCACAGAAAGAAAAGAAAGTCAGTCTTGACCATATTAAGAAAACAGGGTTTACTGTAAAATAAAATGTAGTTTACCATGAGAATGAAATAACTATTTCTTTCTGAATACACAGCCTTGTTCCTCCCACGTACTGTGTCCTGACATTTCAGCCCAGCTTTGCTCTGCACATGCTTTTCATCAGTATGTTTATTACTGGTGAGAAATCTTCCTAAAACACAGTTAAAAGGCACTTTCTTTTTTTATATTTCCCTAAACAATTGTTTGCATTAATGAAAACATCCATCATTTTTTACAAGTATTCTTGATAAAATATACACCAGTAGAATTGCTTTTGCACCACTGTTCCGCTCAAGTATTCCAAATATTCAGTTCATTAGGGAGAGGGGTTTTTTCCCTTCCTTAAGAGAAAGGAAATACTTTTTTGCCTCTGGAAAGGCTCTTAAACCACATTACAGATCTATGAGCAAATCTTGGATAATTTTTAAATGATATAATCTCTCACAGGGTCTTTTTTGAACTAGAATAAGAAAAACAATTTTAGAAAAGCAAACAGAGGGGCTCAGTGAATTCTGTTGCTGCACATACTAAGGCTCATATTTTTCAAGTTATTTAGGTGCTTAATTCTCATTGAGAAACTTGGCTTCAAAGGAGCTGACCATGCTCAGCACCTCACTGCTTCTGCCTCAGCGGACCTGAGAGTGACATGTGAGTCACTGTCATATTCCAGTCACAGCTTTTTGTCCAAGTTCTTCCCTTGGCCACATTTCTGGAGATCACTGGGTTTTACCCAGCCTGAAATGAGACTTCTTATTTCTCTTAGGACCTATATGAACCCTTTTCTCTGACAAATTATTCATCTTTTGTGATCCAAACACTTTATGGACTCACAGTTGATGTGTTAAGGTATTGGTGGCAATTTTATAGGAAAAGAAAAGGAACTAGCTTTCTTGGGTTTAGAAGATAAGACAGAGAAGACTATAAGGAGGAATAAGAAAATAGTAACTCTGTAGTAAAGGTTCACAAATTGCTATTCAGTTTGATTAGTACAAAGATCAGAGAGAAAATTGTCTACAGCCATTTAATGCAGACTTTCTGTAATAAAGAAGGGAAAGACGTTGAGTAAGTTAAGCTGTCTTTGTGCTTTACTCACATCTGCATTTTTTTTTTCATAAACTACAAAAACTACAAACTTTTGAATTACGAATTCCTTCTCTGACATTAACCAAGTGGTAAAGAACAAGCAATTAAAAACATAGACAGAATTAATTTCTACCACCAGAATTCCTAACACAGACCTGGATAACACCTTTCCAGGATCAGCTAGCTGTCAGACATTGTCCAGTTTATTGAGCAGTAAATACCTGAAGCCTCTCTGTCATCTCCACCATACAATCTTCATTGAAATGCATGACTATGGCGTTCTCCTTTACACCCAGGCTTATGTATGGACTCCAAATTGTCACATAAGCAACAAAGACTGTCCTTAAAATCAGGCACACGGACTCTAACCAGACCTGTTACAGAGATTCTCCCAGCTTCTTACCTGTGCCTCTCTAAAAATGTAAGGTCCTAGTTCTTTCCTGTGCTCCAAAATCTTCTTTGCTTGTTCAATTGGGATGTCAATCTGCAAAGCTGGGGGTACAGCGGAATTAATAAAGCAGTCAGTAATAGCTGTGATCTTTTTCTGTACTGTGGCATCATCACAATGAGAATGGCACAAGTCCTGAAAGACAAAAAATAGCATTTTCAGTCAATGGAGAGAGAGACATAAGACCCTTTTACAGGGGCCCAGTGATCAAAGAGTAATAGTCATACAAAAATAGTTACACAATAGATTCCTTCAGTATGTAGGACAAAATTGTTATCGCAAATGTGCATGGTCAAAGACATAGTTAAGGCATGAGTGGGACTTCTGGTTTGCAAATGCAGATATTTAGCAATCGTTGTTTTTAGGTGACAATCTCTGCCTGCACATTCTGAGGGAACAGGATAGTTTTTATCCTGCATTCAGTCTAAGTTCATTACTGGCAAATAGGCATTTCTGAAAAGAGAAACACACTTACAGGTGTGAATTGCACTGATTTTCCCAATGAGCCTGCTTTGAGCATAGGCATGGTAACTACAAGACAAAGAAATGCTCTAAATACTCCAAGAAAAGAGGGGAATTATTGAGAGGGTACAAGCTATTATAACCAGGAATGTTGGCACAAGAGGGGACAATTTCAGCTACCAGTTTAATCTTCCATTCATTGAAAGCTTCTAATTTCACCATTCATTAAGATTTTCTAGTTTCCCCAAACCTCAGTGTTTAAAATAACTCTGTGCAGAACAGAATACAAAACAAACCTGAACTTGCAAGGGTGAGATCTCAGAGGAACACTGGGGGTTTTCTACCTTTTTAATGTGATCCTATTGTTCTTGTAAAACCTGTTATTACTGCATTTTCACACTCTGACGATGCTGCCATCGGACTTTTGACAGGAAGAAAAAAATAACTCAAAGAACTTCCTTCAAACACTTTGAAACACGAACTTTCCATCTATCCATAAACATCAAGAAGTTTCTGTAACACTAGGAGATTATCACATATATCTACTAAAGACACAATGAGCACTCTAGAGAGTTTTCAGGAAGAGAGCTCTCTAAATGAAGAATGTGCATGTAGTTTTGGTATAGGAGGCTGGATATTTACTTTGCAAAGAAATTAAAACCAGGGCTTTTAACCAGAAATGTGGTATGTGGAAGAGCTGGCTTGTTTTATTATGAATACTTTTTAGTTTTGTGAAGGAAAAAAAAGAATGATAACAGCTACAATGAAGAAAGTAAGGCAATACAAAAATATATTCAATATATCCTAAGAATATATTATGGCTTCCTTTGCTTATCTAGCATAGAAGAAAAGGCAGAGAGCTATAGTAAGAGGCAAGACAAATAAGCCATATGATACGAAGAGGGGTGAGACATGACAATAGAGGAAAAGACAGAAATGATCCACAGAGTTATATTTCTTCATATTTTTAAAAAATAATATATTTTTGTTTTTTGATTGTCCCAAGATGTGCCGCCAGCCATATGGGTTACGAGGAGCAATGTAGTCATTGACTCCTGAAGGGAGTTCTGTCTAAACTGATGGCGTGATAGGGCTCAGACAATACGAGTACACACTGTGCAAAGTGCTGCCCACGTCTTTGGCAATATTCCTCCAGTTCAGCCTGACCCACAACACTCCTGCTACTCCAGCCCTTTGCTTCTATAACGAGCATCAACTGCCAACCATGACAAATTGCATGCATGCAGAAATACGGTCAGATTGTACTTTTTCTTGATAAGAAGACAAATAAAATTAACATAAATGAAGGGGGGGGGGGCGACACATAAAACAATGAAGGATTTCTTCAGAGAGCAAATCCACAAAGAAAACAGTCTAAACTACACTCCACGTTAATTTGCAGAAACTTTCCATGTCCTCAACAATGTAGCAATGAAGAGTCACAAATCTGAAAAAACATCAAATATTTTGAGAAGGTTTTATGTCATGGAACTTCAGGTGCCTTCGTGTCAAGTTTCTAGTCTAAGCTAGTCACTCTGTAACCAGGAGAGAGATAGCAGCACCCCCAGAGAGCATTTCAGCCGATGATGCCTCTCTTGGGTACGAGAGCCTCTGTGAGGAGGGGAGATTGCCCCTTGGAAACAGAGGAGCTGCAGCTTCTGAAGCAGACCCCAAATTCAAATGCGTAAAATTAAACAGTGAGAAGACTGCAGCAGGATCTCCAAGTGCTGCTGCAGCATCAGCTGGGTTTACCTCCTAATTTCTGAGCACATTAGCTAACCTCATGCTCCCTGCCTGCCATGTGCACACAAGCTATGCTTAGGAGCCCAGGAGAGGCTCTGCACTCTGGTAGCACTTTTGTACCAGCAATATCCCAGAGGCGAAAGGAATGAGGAACAAGTGAAAGATCTGTGGTGCCCCTGCATTCAGTCCAGGGTGCTACGAGGAGGCTGCAATGTGATTTAAAGGCTCGTTCCAGAGTTTTCCCATTGTGTTTCACCCCGCACAGCAGCAATTTCACAAAGGGGCACATATTTGGGAGAGAGGTAATCCCTGCTGACCTTCCCCATCACGTTTCACCTTGGCCACATCCTCAGCTGCAGTCAAATGTGACTGTACAGAGTGCAAGGGAGCTGGGGGCTGCATTGTACATATAAGCGTTTTGGGTAGATACTATCTTTACATCTGTACATTTGATTGAATTTAAAAGTTTTCTCTGATTTTTGAGGGATTACCAAATACAGCAATAATCCCATTATTTAACAGTATGTAACTATAAAGACAGAATGAATATTTTAATGCTTGCATATTTTCTACGGCTCAACAGATGTGTACCAAAATCTGGGCATTAGCTAGTTAGTAGTGTCCCTTTAGAGACTCAGAAGAATGTTACAGTTTGAAGAAGCATAAAGAAATACCGGGATAACACATTCAAATCATTAAAAAGAGCTACCCTTAAGCAGCGAGGATTTTCAGTGAAGAAGAAAACAGTTTAAACAGCGAAAGAGGTTTTACTATGAACAAGAAAATGCCTAGAGATATTCTTGTTAAAATTCTCCTAATATGCAGTAATGGATGCATTTGCTTACAAATTGAATGATATTCCTCTTGCTCCATTTTACCACCGTACCTTATACTTCTGTACCTCTTGCCAAAAGAGCACTCCATTCTCCAGTAGGTCTCCTTTCAGTGACACAAAGCGTTGAAACTGATTTGCTGTCACTGGATTCAACAGCGCTTTGCGGAATGCAATTATTTCACTAGATGAAGAAACCCACTTATTGTCCGCATGCTGTCACAAGAAGAAATAAATGCACCAAATAAACTTTGTTTCAAAAAGCAATAATAAAGGCATTAGTTAGCGTAAACTGTCTGATTCTTATCTTTGCACTGAGCCTTACTTTCAGTAGTTTATGAGTTTATGACATGGATACAATAGAACGTGGCAAGGTTTCATTTCTTTCTTTCCTTCTTTTTTCTTTTTTTTTTTTTTTCCAGTTTGGTTTGGGCAACATTTTTTGGAAGACATGATGGGAGAGGAAATGACTGACAATGATTTAGACCATATGAGTACATACTATAAAGTATGGAAACAGCTATTGTTATTGATTATGGCAACAGGCTACTTTTCTAGAGAACAGTTTGAGTTTTGTGCAAACAAACAACAAAGAAAAAAGAACAGACAAACCACATAGCTTAAAGTTGTAAAACTCTTTTGACAGGGATCTCACCAACAAAATGAGCTTTGAAATGTGTTGCCATGATCACCAACAGAAGCTGGAGAGTTTGCTCTCTGTGGAATAAAGCTACCAATCATAAAATACAATTTAAAGTCATCGAGACATTTTGGAAATCCTCATGCTGCAAAGCACAGAGCGGTAGGCAGCCAGGAAAGGGTGGGGAAAGAAAGATGGCTTACGCAGGGACGGTTTGTTTGAAATTAAGTTCAGGCTGGCCTGCCTTCCTGAACAAACAGTTCCTGTGGTGTCACTGAGGAGCAAGCCAAACAACCCCCCCTTTGTTATCAGATGGATGAATGAAAACTATCTGCTAACAGTGGTATAAAGCTCTTGAAGTCCTGGAGGGATGGAGTGCTGTTCAGTGGTGAGCATGGGACAGAAACATTTTACTTGCTGCAGGCAGTCCTGGAAATCTAACCTGATTCTAAGCTGACAGACTTTTCTCTTAAAAACAGGGGTTACAGTTAGTTTCCTGCCGCAGAGCCTGCCAGGGATGAGAGCCTACCCTTGCGAGAAGGTGGGTGCTGGTTGTCCAAAGGGTCCTTTGGTTGCAATAAAGTCAGCTCAACTTACTAAGTTGGCATCTTCTCAGCCCTCCTCCAATTCTCCAAACGTGTTCTATCCCCTGTGACCAGGATTTAGGCAACTTTTGGGAAAAATTATTTCTGGGACATATCCATGAAGGGAAGAACAAAACATTGCTGCCATCCCTATACTAATATATGAACACTGCTTATTTTATGGGTCAACAACCTTGAAGCAGAACATGGAAAATAACCATCTTCCTGACAAACAGACAAAGGGAAAACTCAGTTAACAGAACCCACATGCACTTTGGATCCCTTTCGAGCTAATGGTTTGCAAGGATAATTGGTGACTGGGTCTCCAGTTTGATTTCAACAAACAATAAAAGTTCAACTGAATAAATGTACACAACTTGTATGTTGGCAATCACAAAGAGTTCACTGCTCTTCAAGAGGAAAAAAACTGGCAAACATCTGATGAAATGTATTATTACAAAGGTTTAAGATGTTTAAAATTGATATTATCTCAGTGCTGTAAGATTAAAATACAATTCTAAATGAAACAGATACTGTGAGATACGATTAAACCTGCCCACTCCACTGCATACTTCACATTCCCTTTTGTGTCTGCACGTAATCCACTCGCAATAATAAATAAACTACCAGATGCTGGAATGAACAGCTTGTCCCAATAAGTCCACTGCATGCAAAATACAGATAAATGTGAATTAAAGGTACAATACCAGTTTAAGGAGGGTTAAGAGTGCTCCAAAGCCCAGGACAAGAGACATGTTTTTTTTCAAGGATGACCTCTCTAGCCAGGAAGGGAGAGAAATTTACCGTGAACATCCAGCAGGGAGCTAAATGCATCAGTAATGTGAGTAATCAGTCCACGTAGCCAATACAATCATGCCTGCTTTTGACAGTGTTACATTTGGGCCTCACACTGTCAGCGGGGAACTTGTGAAGGATGTGCAAGGTCCAAACAGAAAAGATAGTGAAACTGCAGACACAAGAGACACAGTAAACTTCACTTGCCTTCCACATCCTAGTTGTCTTCTCCTGGTTTTGGCGTGGAAGATCTTCATTTATGTCCCTTATCTACAGTTGAACAAACGATCATCATTGTATTTTTTAACTCTTCTGGTTTCATGTTCAGCCCTCTAATGATTGAGACCACAGTGGCAGAATAGCTGATATATCTTCATTTGGATCTTTATATCTGAAACTTGTTGTGAACCCACACCAAATGCCATCCCTTGTTCAGCTATAAATGAGCACGTGCTCATTAAGACTGGGGAGTTAGAGAAGACGAGGCAATGGCAGTCAAACTGCCCTCTTGCACTGGTTTACCTTACCCATAATGTTCTGAGTGACCACTTACATTGGGAACAGATTTTTGGGCTATAACTTCTTTTTTTTTTTTTTTTTTTTTTTTTTTTTTTTTGTATGAAATGGTTTTAGTTCCTTTGGACAGCTGTATCAGAAATACAGGCTTGATCCTGCAGCTTCTTTGTAGCAAAAATACACCTCAAATCAAGGGCAGATTTTCTGAATAAGGACTACATAGCATGCCCACAGTGTTTGGTCACTGTGAAATATGAAGCCAAGCGGAGAATGTCATCTGGTTTCATTTCTTCTAAAATACATTCTTCAAAGGACCTTTTCATCCTCTGAATTTGCAGTAAGAAAGAGAAAAGAGCAGTCAGACATAAATGGAGTTAGGAAAAGACTAAAAGCTCATTAGAAGTATGTATTTCCTGTAAACTGTTTATTAGGGTTGAATACAGCATTTTCCAAACTGCATGGGCTACTCTCCCTGCCAGCACAGTGCAGCAGGTGCAAGAAGAGACATAAGCTCGCTTCCAGATCTGGAAGCAGCTTAGCCTTATCGCATGGTCTTGTGCCATGGCTCGTAAAGGAGGCAGAGTTCAGCTAAAAAACGGGCAGAGGATTAGGAAATTTTGCTTTAGTGTAATCATCATTAAAATTGCAATTTGCCTCATCAGAACCTACGGTTTTCTGATTGCTTAGTGCTCTGAATCAATGAAAAGGATCCAGCTCAGATGCATTTCTGACAACACTTCTGACTACCTTCTTGATGTTAAAACGATCATTGAAAACAAGTTTTATGAATCAATGCAGTCTGCCTATGTGTCTGCTTGGTGGAACTGTCAAGTTTCCTTCTGCTATGACAGTCACATGTCAGAGCTTATGTGGAAGTGCAAAAACCCAAGTCTTCCTGCATCTGTCACCAGCAGGATGATCTCCCTACACAGATCGCAGTCAGAGGCACTCTCATAAAAGGCAGATGTTCTGCCCGTTCCCCAGACTTTCTAATGAGCCAGCAGGAGTGAAAGGTTTCTCATTCCCAGTTTTCTGGCAACTTTCTGAAGTAACCAATTGGAAACAAGGCTTGTAGCAGTTAACCTCCCCACTCAGCAGAATTTCACAAGTCCTGGAGTCATTTCTACAGGCACTGCAGCTCCAGATGGGAGAATATGGACAGCGTAAGAGAGTCAATACAGCGTAGGAAGCCCACTCATTTTCTTGTGTTCTTGTCCCCTTGGGCAAATCCTTTACACAAAGCAGCATTTCTTGTGTGTGCAAGTGTATGGCTAGGACAGAATGGCATATGGAGAGGAGCACTACAGCAAAGATTCTTTTACTCCCCCGGCAGCCTGGCTGGCAGCAGAGCTAACACCAGCTCCTTCAGATTTAGGATCTAACAATAATACTGTCAGCCGGACTAAGCCTTCAGAGGAACTGCCTTCACAATTATCAAGCTAAATGCTTCAACCTGTACACGCTAGAGTGTCTCTTTCAATGTAAATTGAGTGTGAGTTGTGGGCTGCTTTTCCTCTGAACCATTTTATCCCAATGGTAAATTATGAGCCAAACAAAAAACAATGCCTGGATGTGTTGCTGTTGTTAAAAAATTACCTTTGCTTGTCCCTCTGCCCCGTGGTGCTCATCTGCCAGGAACAATGGCAGCCATTGTTTTTCTAATCTCTTCTGGATGCATTGCTGAATTTCTAGCAGAACCGCTGCTGAAAGTCGATCATGTAGGATTTGTCCCCATCCTCCACCTGAATGCATTAGCTAAGCAATCCAAATACAAAAACACATGACATAAACTTTTGTGTATACCAAAAGTCCTTTATCTCTCTACATCCTTGATTTAGCAAAGCATGAGCTTAACTGTAAGCAAAGCATTTAATGCATGCTTACCCAAGGCTCACATGTACTTTTCATAAAAGGGAACAGATTACATTTGTCCCTACCTATAATAGAATACAGACTCCGGCAAATAATACCCTAGCTTGACCGAGTAAATTTCCTAAGTATCAAGATATATTGGAGTACCACAGCTCAGACTCTGTGGCTTTACTGACATACTAAAATAGAAAGCTGGAACAAGTCACTCTGCCTGAAAGCCATTTTTACACTTTTTCTGAGCTGTGTTGTGTGTGCTCTGGCTGCAGCCTCAGATCAGGGTTTAAGAGAGATGTTCTAGAAGGACAGGGGAGGAAGAGCCTGAACAGGAAGGAGGGGACCCCCACAACCAGAACAGAACCAGATTTCTGGCCAAAAATATCGGTAAGATTTGAGGAAACAGCTTGGGGGAAAGCTGGAGTAAAGCTGCTTATGAACTTTTGTCTCAGTCACATTCAGTGTGATTGTTCTTTATGAACGGTTTTGTAACTGGTACCTGTTCTTGTTGTTCTCTGGTAGCTGGGCTGTTGGGTCCAAAGAAGTATTTTTTGTTTAAGTACTTGTTTTTAATGTCCTTAGACTTTTCCTCCCTTTTTTCTTTATCCTTGTGGAGCATCTTTCTGAACTGTTCAATATCTAGCCAGCACATGAGATCCATGCTACAAACAAATTTAAACAGAATGTATTTCAATATTGAGTTAATTTCATCAACGTTCTAAGGAGTTATTAGTTTAACCACAAGCCACCAAAGTGTTTGAATCCTAAATACCAGGTCAGATTGGACTGAAATTTGATGTCATTTTTTCTTTGCTAGCACCATCTGGTGAGACCATGGCACTTGTTGAACAGGCAGATCAAACACACATCTTAGGGATCTCATTTAGGGTCCCTTCTGGGGTACCCTGAAAGGAGTAACCTCCTCAATGTCCCGCTGCTAAATCCAGCAGGGACTGTGAACCAGAGCCATAGTGCAGAGCTCACAGAGAGAATGAAAAATGAAACAGATGAGAATTTGAAGCAGTACTGCAGGCTGTGAGCCACCGAGAGATGAATCGACACCCCCTCTTCTGCCTCCTCGTCGTGTCACCTGAGAAAGGAGCAGGGGTGGCAGCTGGGAACGTCAGCCCCAGAATCACCCCCTTCCTACCCTGTGTGAAGTGCTAGAGCTTGAGTCAGTCAGCAGTCAAGCAGACAAAAAAAATTACAGTAAATTTTGTTTCTAGGGCTTTTTGTGGGCCACCTTGTCATAAATTACTGATTCTACTACTTATGTTGTTATTCATAGTAAGTGACAAATAACCTTCATGTGCAATTCTTGTTCTATATATTGTTGATAATCATTTGAGTGTATACTATCAATTTAAGTTTGTTTTAATGAAATATATTGGTTTTGTGCTTTAAACCAGAAGACAGAATAAGTGACATACCTGCAATTTCAGTTTAATTTATAGGACTGTTTTCTTATGGTATCTTATTAGCTGAAGTTTTGTGAGCGTTTTAATCAGGACGTTCACTGTATTTGCAGCAGGAAACATGAAACATTAAATTCAGACAAATCTGTTTCACTTTTCCATTCAGTTAATAACTGGCTTTTTCAAAGCATTAAGCTATGACTAAAACTTTCAAAAGCATCTGACTGATTTAAGAACAGATGTCCCCCATTCAAAAGTCTTTTGAGACTCTTACAGACCTAAGTTCTATTGAGACTGAAATTCTTTCATTTGCTAGTTCATCACAATGTGAATAAGTTCACCCAAATGCAAGCGATCCAAGTTACTGTGGTTTATGGAGTTACTCCTTGGCATCTACCCATGACAACCAATCAAATATGTCTATCTTATTTAAAAAGCAAAATATATAATCTTAGAGTGTGTTAGGTTAAACCATTTACAGTGGTGGCTTATCCTAGTGTACTCTACTTTTTCCTTTCAATGGATCAGGAGCATGTGTGTAGTCAGTTAGTCTGGCAAGACTAACAAGTGGTAACCCACTAACCCAAAGTAACGCAAATTGTCCTGCAATTGTGTAACTATATCCTATATATTTAACAAAATATTAATTAATGAAACTTTGTTTAGTTTCTTATCAGAATTTGTACCCAGGTATTCAGCAGCCTGTACTTCCTGAAACTTGGATCACTTACAATTGGGCAAAAACAGAACCATACATTTTGATGAAGAGGCAAATTACATATTTGTTGTTTTTTGCTGAAAAGTTCCAGACTGCATTAGCTTTAGGATCCCTTTAGCTTATAGTACCATTAAGCATCTTTACTGTAGCATGCCAGCTGGACTTCAGAGTTATTAGGTCTGGATCCAGCTCTAAAACACTGTTTTGTGAGACTTTTTCAAATGTTTTTCTTCATTATGAATTTTTACAAAAGAAAATTTCTCCATAAATTAAACATTTCTCTGTCTGGCTGTATCACTTAAGATGGGACTTGTCTGTGATTAACAGAGAGGCAGGAAGTCCCAGAGGCAATTCAGCCAGGACCTTGTCCTAGCCAGTGACCTGTTGTCTGGTGATTCCTACCATTTCCCCAGTTAGAGAGGAACTCTAGACCAGTGCTCTCCAAAGTGGGGTGCGCACACCCCAGGGGGTGTGTGAGATGATTCATTGGGGGACAGGGAGAAAATATTAGAACTTCAGTAGCACATGTATATAATTTATTAAAAAATAAATATACACATATTGAGGGTGCATGCTCAAAAATTTTTTACCAATGAGGTGCACAATCAAAAAAGTTTGGAGACCGCTGGTCTAGACAACTAACTCAGAAGTCACTTGACCATAGGCATACACACAATAAGAATCCCCATCTGAAGTCATTACCTACAGTCCTTTTGTAGTCAGTGAGCAGAAATAGCCATCTTTAGGAATGATCCATCCAAACTGGTTTTAGATGTTACCTCCAGAATTAGAAGAATTGTGTCCAGGAGTGTGTATTTCTCTCTCTCTGACTACAAAGGGAACCTATGATGATATGCAGAAGTGATGACATTGAGTCTTGGCCAGAGGAATCCTGTGCTAGATGTCCATCTCTGGATACTTTTGAAAAAACTGACCAGCTAAAACAATAGCAGTGCTTGACTAGGAGCAATAGGTGACATGCGAAGCTTCAGCTCCTGGAAACCCAGGTTAAAGGAAGAAAGTGACAATTTAAGGACTTGCTAGCAGTTACTTAAAAGGTATATCTGCCTTTTCCTAAAACAGAATAGAAATTAGTGTGGGGCTTGTGAAAAAAATAAAGGTAGCAAACTCACATTTACTTCTGCTAAAACTTCTGCTTAGATCTTCATTTTTAAACAAATGGACTCACTTTTGCAAAAACCCTGCATAAACTGTCTCTGCTACGAGCTGGTACTTAATTCTGTTCAGATCAGTGCAAACACAAAACTGCGGTTGCTCTCACACTGTGAGAATAATGTGGCTGTCTTCTGTTTGTACATTTTTATAACATCCAGCTTTAATTTTTAAAATGTACTAAATTGAATCTGTACTAAAAAAGAGAAATTTTACTCATTATAGGCTAATTATTCTACTCAGGGGTTTTTCACTAATCAAAGCAGAAACTGAAAGCAGAACTATAATACAAACATGTTATGACAGCAGAATTTTTACCCCAATAATATTAAGACAATTCAGTTGTCTGAACAATGTGCATGTGTATTTCATAAATATACAAACACATTTTTTAAAAAGACTAAAATCTGTGAACATTTAGATAGCCAAGATCCCCAGCAAAGATTTCTTCTGAACTTAAAAATGGGTAAAATAATAATAACAAAGAAACCTACCCAGCAGAATGCTCATTAAGAAAAGCCCAGAACTGTTCTAACTTCTCTTTGTCGTGGATCAGGTCAGATAGATTAGGACCTGCCAATTCTTTGGGAACTTGATGCAAGTGCTGATCTTCTTTGAGAGCATCAGGGCAGGATGGCAGACCAGTGTCAGCAACAGTACTCTGAGGGAAGAATTTATTTCACTTGCATAACTGCTTTTTTAATCTCTTATGTTGTGCTCAGTCTAATAATCCTTGCATTAGATAACTTTTGTCTCTGTAGAACAGCTTTTTGATTTCTGAGAAAATAAATTAAGACTCCAGCTCTTAATCAGCTTTTGGTTTATGTCTGCTTTAAACATACCAGTGTGTGCAGGTTCCATAATCAGACCAATATGTACCTGTAATTTACTTGAAATTGAGGTATTTACTCAAGATTAAGGGCCCAAAATACATTCTACAGACATGAGTGGAAACTGTCTCATTGACTCCAATCGTACTGTGGTCTGATGTTGATACGACTGACAGAAGACCTGTATTCGTAATTAACACAGTGGCTGTGACTCATTTCCCAAAATGAATGGTAGAAATCGGACTACTTGCTTCTCCAAACTGGCATGTTGTCAGTCTTTCATTGCTGATACTCAAAGTGTTAACCCTCTCTGATAGAAAAAGAGTTTGTTTTTGTTAGTAGGTACTTGTCTTACCTCATCCTGCTTGGAACCACTCTCTTGATGCAAAGCCTGGAGCTTTCTAAAGTACACGGAGTCCAGCTGTCGAGTTTCTTCCACCAACTCCACCTAATAAAAATAATATCTTATGTCATCCCTACAGTACACATTATAGAAAGATGGAGAACTGGACGGGCACCTTGCCAGTGACAATGGATAGAAAAGGATACATTTGTCAGTAATGAGACTGATGTTTAGAAGACACTAGAAGTCACATCCTTGTGACAAACAATTCAGTTAAAAGCTCTGGTAGAAGAAAATTTTCAGATCTGTGTAGGATCACATGTAGATTTCTACAGAACACCACTAAATAACCTAACTATATCTTTAAGAATATAACTTTGTATTAAAGAAATTGCTAAATTATATTGTGTATATAATATATTGTGTATATTGTGTCAGACTTACCTGATTGCCTATACCAGCAAATTGTATGTCAAAGTGCCACTGGGAAGCAGAAAAACATGTCTTAAAACTATGATCTCAGTGGGAAATGTCAAAAAGATAGAGTGCCACAGATTTCCAGAAATGGAAATCTAAGAAAGATGCTCTAATATCTAAACAATGAAGGTGAAAGCTTTCAGACTTTCAGTCTTGTCCCCTTCCTTAGTTTTATACCAGGTAATGCCTTAAAATAATAAATTATGCATGATTAGAACTCTTGAAGTATTGGCTTTTTTAAATTTAATTAGAAGCCTTATGTATGTAACTAGAACAGTTCTCCATGTTATGTGCAAACAATCGGTAACTACACAGGGAACAGTTTGATGACCCTCTCGGCTGACTAAACCATTCGAATGCAGGTTTTAGGATATTTAGAAAAATTGAGCCAATGTGTTACACTGATTAGCATGCCCATTACAAAGATTAGAAAACTGTGGTCTTATTATGCAAGCATTTATGTGCAAGAGAGAGAAGAGAGTTTTTAGATTAATATTCATTACAGTTTTGTCTAAATGTGAATACCACACTAATCACCGTGTCATCTGAATGCCTTCAGGCTCAGTGTAACTCTGTTCCACTGTTATAAAGTGCTTTGGGGTATTCTTTCCTTTAAAAGAAAGCGTAGTTTAAAAGTAAATAGGAAAATAATTCAGAACATTTTTCATAAAGTTGAAACAGAAAGCAGATAGAGGCAGAATGAGAGTCAACAATCAAAAGGAACTCTCCTGTTTTCATGTTTCATTTAAAGATAGAAATGTAGATACATACTGACCAAGTCCCAAATAAACAATTTTGGACTCACCTAATTCTTGACAAAATATCTTGTTTCATTATGGGCCAAATATATCCTGCTGTATGGTAGAACAAAGGGGAAGAGTAGAGCCAGGGACTGAACAAAACACAAAGCAGACCTTGTCTTTGTGCTGGGAAGGAGTGTGCCTAAGCCTCAGCCTGCGCCTAGTACAAAGAGACTCTAGTGCCTCCTAGAACAGGTCGTTTTATGTCTGTGCATTATAACTCTTCACAAACACATGTATTGTGCACTTAAAAGGATTTAGTTCTGTTTTTTCGTGCTCTGATTAAGATGTTTGCATTATTAGAGCACTGAGAAGTCTGCACATAACTACACTTGCAAAGAAAAGCATCGTCTAAACTGAAAGGGCAATAAATTATCCCTCGGTTAACTCAAGGAGATATAAACTGACACACGCATTAACAACTTAAAACAAAAGTTTATATTTTCAATTCATACTTTGGAGGAATTCTTCCATCGCTAGCAGCAGGGAAAACACTGTATTCAGAGCGTGCTCAAAAGCAGAGTCCTGTTTATACAAAAATGATGTATAATAATACTCAGCTGAGTCGATGACTTGACTCAGTGAGGACTGGCACTAGATACTAGACAACTAATATTGATAATACACATGGAAAATATACATTTACAAAAGACTGTAAAACTACTCTGATAGAAAGTAAATAAAATTTCATATTAATGAAAGCATTGATTAATTACACGGTGTTCTGCAGGTCATAAACAGTTATAGCTGAAATAGCTTAGAAAAAATAGCTTAGAAGAAATATCCAAAAGCTTAGAAAAAATGCTGAAAAGTGAGGAGAATATTTTGCAGATGTGTTTGGATTTGTTTATTTCATTTGATTAGGTTTTTTTCGATGTTCAAACTTTCAAAGTTTCTTAAGGAAATTAATTTATCAGAGGATGAGAGGGAAGGTCCCGCTATGAACTAATTAGAAGGTAGAAAATCAAACATAGAGAAATAAATAACTTTCATAATGGGGTGGGGTTCCTATTGGAGTCTCACAGGGATCTGCGCTGAGGTTGTTTTTTTAAACATTCAGAAATTATCTGGAAAAGGAGGTGAGTGAGGAGACAACAAAGTTTGTAAAATGATTCCACAGAGCAAAAAATGAAATTGTCTGTGAAAAGCTGCAGGATTTCAGGACACTTTAGCATCTGCATGATAAAAGGGCAGCTGAATTCAAGGACAATAAACATGAAGTCATTCCAGTCACCTCCAAATTAGGACTTTCCATTAGCTGTTATTCCTTAGTAAAGAGATCTTGGAATCATTGCAGATGGCTATTAGCTTACATTTTGCACATCCACTCAAAGTTCACCAGGAGTCAAAAGGCAATTAGAATCACAGGAACAATTAGGAAAGGAACAAAGAGCAAAACAGAAAACATGATTCTGCCATTGGATTATCCTTAGTGCATCCAGATCTTGAGTATTGCTTGCATCTCATCAAAAGAATATAAAATAACAGATACAGATGGGGGTGATAAGTGTAACAAAGGTATGGAACACCTTCTGTAAGAGGAGAGGTCAGAAAGTCTAGGATTCTTGAGTTTCAAAGAGATGTGATCGAAGTGGGATACGACAGAAACATGTAAAAGCATAACAGCATTGAGACTGTGACAAGATAACAACTGTTCACCGTTCTTCATGACATATAAAACTAGGGCACGAGGTGAAATTATCAGGGAGGGGTTTGCAAACAAAGATAAGCATTTTTTTCTCCTTTTGCATGGAACCCACTGCTACAGTAAGGCTGAAGATATAAAATGACTCAAGATAACCTTCACATAAATCCATGGGGAAAAAAACCCAACCCTAATCAAAGACTATTAAACACAAAAATGTGGATAATACCTCTGCTTCATGAACCTCCTCAGTTGCAAAGTCCTGAAGCTGGCAATACTGCTGTATGGTTTTTTCCTGTTCTTATACTCTATTCTTAAATGTTTAATACTGACCACCACCTAATAGGCTTAGCAGACAATTCTCAACTTTGATTTTAGGTATCTGTTCTAGTTTTTAATACATGCATGCACAATATAGTAACAAAAATACACTGTACTACAAAACTTCCCCAAAAGGATTTCAAAGTGTTCTGCAGGGGGCAATGTGTGCCATGTTCTCATTACATGCTGACAGAAATATCGGCAGTAAGTGATGAGATTTCCTGTAAAAATGGAGATGCTTCATCTAAGATCACAGTGGAGAAAAACAGGAACAAGAACTAACTCCCTGGCCTCCAACTCCTGATTTTCCATTGTAAGTTTCTCCTTCCATATCCAGGAGAGAGATGCTAGTTTGACCTACAGCTGGTAACTTGTAGGTAAGTTGTTGTAGGTAACTTGTAGGTAAGAGCAAAAAGCCACAGCATCCACCACTGCCTCCCCCATTTCTTGTTCTTATTTGTCAAAAGCAGAGTCAGGATTGCAGCCATCTCCTCTGACCTGCTTGATTCAAGCCTTCAGAGGCTTTCTGGGATTAGAATTGAGTACGCCACTAAGCCACCTACTTCAGGAAGCCTGCAGGGCACAGTTGGTCCTTGTACAGTAGGGCAGCTATCTAAAAAGTGTTTGTGGCAAATACAGCTGGATCACCATATCACATTTCCTCTTACGCTAAGCAGTAGCTGCACTGTAGTTCTAAACACCAAGAAATACTTGATGCAATTAACATGGACCTAGCATCACTGTACTGACACTCTAGAAATAGTTTATTTTGTGCTTATCATTAAAACCATAGAAGGCTTGTGGGCAATCCATCATGAGAAAATTACTTTTGATCAATGGCAAGATTGCAGAAACGTGACACTTCCTGAGTGCAAAGAGAACTTTTGCCATAGCAAGATGCATTCAGCCCTAATTCACAGACCAAGGGGTCTATCAAGCCTGCACCTTCCTTTCGGATGGGAAGTTTGCTCTCCACAGGAAGTTCAGGCTACTCCACGGATCAGCATAGAAAGGAGTGGGTGAGCAAAACATCCCATAATACTCCCTTCCTGACTATAAATATAACAGGGTTGCATATGAAGGCTCTTGTGGTTTTCTTCCCAGACATACGAATTTTTCATGGTGTCGTCCAGATCAGTTACCTTCCCGTAAGTGTATTTGTCTGCTTCCACCATCTTCATCCATGGTTCTAGGAGAACAGTGAGGATATATTCTTCTGCTGGGTCAAAAAGATCCTCAAAAGCTGGGTCAATTTTCTGATAAATCATGTTTTTCTTACTCTGATGAAGTCCAATGTCCATACTGGCAGATGGGGCAATGTAAGTTGCATAAAGGAACTACAATAAAACAGAAGAAAACTGATAGCCAACATCCATTCCAATGGTCACAGTCTATTGCAGGAGAGAATTAATATATATTTGTTTCCCACTACCCTGCTGTATATTCTGAACATATATCTAACTGCACCTGCCTTGTTTTTACCAATATTACTGTTTTGTCCAAAATTCAGTTATTGCCATAACTGATCTCCCTGCTTTTTTTACTCCTACTTGTTAAAATGGTTAGATCACAAAATAATGCTTAATGTAATATTTGCTTGGAGATATTTGTCTATTTCTTAGTTAGATTCAGATAACCACAATCATTACAACTGCACTTTTCATGAAGTCACATTGTTTTGCAGAGTATGTGCTGGGTCAACTTGTGAAGGAGTCTTACTTCCTCTGAATAGAAGGGAAATTGTAAATTTAAGGTTAAAATTAATAAACATTTATAAGGTTTCATTCTGTGTGGAGGTTCTCTTGCACAGTTCTTTGGCACTGATGAGACTTCATCATGGTACAGGATCCATAACAGGAGATACCACTGCACAACTGAGGTCTAAATCCTTACCAAAGTAAAGATTACTATATGCTTTTTTATGAAGCACAGAGTTTGCCATTGAACATGTACAAACAGAAGAAAGATGAACCTGGAGAATGTTTCCTTCTAACTAACAGCTCATTCTTGAAGCATAGAGTAATTTTTTTATTCATTTCAAAGGATTTTTTTTTTCCCAAATAGTACTCTAAGTAAAATTCTTGGGTTTTAAATGTTTCATAAATTGCTATGAAAAACATTGAAAACTCAGAGAAAAACACTTTCTTCCAAGAATATCTTGAAAGAAGATATTCCAGAATATCTTTCTCATACATCATGATTCTGACTGCAGCTAGGAACTCAAGTGAAAAAAGATACTGCCGTAATAAAATTAATAAAACTTATAAATGCTTTCTCTTCTTCATATTGTCAAAGTCTAACTAATTTTCAAACACATGGTCAGAGGATCAGATTAGTAGCATAAATCAGAATTTCTTTCTTGGATGGCACTGAGGAGCCCATCTTCACTATTTATTATCACACAGTTTTGACAATAAAGAATGCAGGTTTCTGATAATTCTCATTTTCCTTATGTTGCTAAAATCCAGCTGTAACTAGTAGATGTACAAAGCAGTATAAAAGAAGAAAATAATACATTTACTCTATGTTCAAGCAGTAATAAAACACTGTTGTGTTTAGATTTCAAGCACAGTGGGAGAATGAGTACATTAAATAATTATGTTTCTGTTTTGTTTTAAATGAAATTCTGATTTATTAGACTCTTTCTTTCAAACAGCAACAGTACCAGACTACATCCCCATTATTTTGGACCTTAACAATTTGAAACAGACCCTTTAGACTCTCCTGATACCAGGTCACTGAGGAATACAGGGCTACGATGGCTGATATCCGTCCCCCAGTTAGAACTTGTTAGGATTACTATATTTACTGTCTATGCAGGTTTCCACCCCCTTTCTGCATAGATCTAATCACTGGAAGCAAAGATGGTTTTTTGCTCTTGTGGCCGACGTTATCAATGCAATAAAGACTCACAGATGTAAGGGTAAGGTCAAAGAATGAGGACATCCACAGGAAGAGTCCTAGCTAAAGAACAAGACCACATTTATCCTAAATTATTCCCTTCTCAGCAAATCCCCAAATAAATTTAAATTTAACAGAGACAGAATGAATTAGATTCATAATGATTTCAAAAGTTGGAAGTTATTTTGAAGAACTGTAACACAAAGTTTCAGTTACATCATGTTCTAGTCGGATCCAAAACGTTTAATATATAAAATAGCCAAATTAGAAGGGACTGGTCCAATGATCTAAAGATGTGGTATCTTTAAAAATAGACTTTTAAAAGAGGGGTTAACCATTTTATTTGTCATTAGGGCTGCATTGCTCCACTTGTTATGACTCATAAAACCACACACAAGAGATCTGTAAATTGATGAAAAGGGTCCAAAATAGGTCCTCAATATTTTAACACATATTTAACCTGGTTTCTTAAATGGCTAGTTACTTTTAGCATAGTTTTAAGAACAAAATCAAAACAAGCACTCCACAACTTTCTCAGGCAGTATTCTTTCCCCTATGATTTTGTATGAAATGGGTTAATTTATTTGCTACTGTTCTTTAGAGCTGACAAAAAATATCACCCTACAGAGTCAGAAATTGCCCAGACTAAGGAAGCTTTGTCCAAAAACTATTGACAATCTACTCACATAAACACTGTCGTAATATATTGCCATATTAGGGACTGCCTTTGCAGGCTGGTCTACCTGTAAAACTGCCCCAAGTCTGGTATAATTTCACATTCAAAACTAGAGCATAGTAAGGACAA